GGAGCTATATTTTTATCTTAAAGATTAAAAAAAAAGTCATTTGAGAAATTTGAGCTAATTAGCCCATTTATTGTGACGATTTTCTCATTTTAGTGTGTCTTCCTGGCCGTATAACTCATCTACGCTGACCGTCTTAGTATAGCTTTCATGAACGTAAAAAATAAAAAAATAAATAAATAAAGAAACACCTTGTATATTTAGTGTTTCTGTATCAGAAGGCAGAACACCTCGTTGGCTTGTTTGTATCTTTGTTTTGTTGTACACAGAATTGTACAGCGATATCCATATCAGTTAGCTAATGGAAAGTTCAATATTATTATTGAAGGGTATTGTATCGTGTTTGCTGTGTCACGAGACAGGCGCCGAACTTGGTATCAGCGCTCACACTCTGTTATCGTGACGCACGCTCTGTAGCAACTTCATCCTTTCCCTCTTCTTTACCTTCTTTCCATAACACCCTACAAATACGATAACTGAATAAAGAAACGTCTTCTTATTCTTTCCGGAACCGGCTCGTTCGTGTCGTCAATCGAAACAGGTATATCGCATTATCATCGAAAGAACCCTCGATAGACCCGGCATCGAACAGTGAAATATTCCCGTTTCGACAATTAATGCATGGTATTATTTTGACAACTATAACGTAACCCTTCAGTTATTTAACGACCTTGCCAATTCTGCGATATATTTATTCGAAACGAATCGTCGTGTAATCACACCTGCAATGGCTTTACTTTGTGAGCTAATTTACTTCTAAACAAACAGTATAAATACTGCCGTCGCAGGCATTGCTTTACGATTTCATATTTGGTCTTTATCTAGAAACTGCATCCGCTTCCCCCCCCCCCCCCCCCATACCATGAATTGACATTCAAATTTTAAGCTGTAATACGACTAGCATTTGCTAGTGTTAATTTTTATGGTACCTTTTACCAATGAATGTGCCGCCGTTTATTTTCCCTTTTTCCTTTGATTTGTTTTGTAGAACTGACGTGTAATATACTACACAATTCTTGTTATTATGTAACTCTCTTGAGATGCAAAGCTTTAGGGTGCCTAGGCTTTGTCAGGTACCCTGCCTCTATCTCTGCACCTGCGCGGTGAACCAGCTAAACAAATACAAATAAATAAAAAATATTCCATTCTTATCCGAACGCAGAGCCGTATATGTAGAAAGTTTGGCCATTCGTTGGGAAGTATAGGAGACAAATGAGGAGGCGCATTGGCCGAAAGCGTGCTGGGCGTGTTCCAGGGCGTCTTCAGAAATTCAAATGTGGCCAACCAGAAGCCGGAAATAATACCCTGGCTGTGGTTGCGAGAAGCAAACTTGATTAGTGCATTGGAGTAACTCTCGGTGACTGAAAATATGGTGCACATGATGTTTCAATCACGGCCATCCAAAATCATGTTGGAAGAGTGCGACTAGCGGAACGATCGACATAATCCGTACGCCAAGCGCCGAGGGCCGGGAATCTGCCGTCCGAGCGGTCAAACTCTGTCCTAGCAAAACAGAGTTGAGCGGCCGCATTAGTTTTTTTTACATGTTTGTGTATAATCATGATCGAAACTTTACGTGCACCCTATTTTCAACCACAAAAGGTTACTACACTTCACACTTGCGCGCTTATTAAAACCATTTACGAACATATACCTTCGATTAAAACAGACTCTCGCTACCACCGCTAGGGGATTCTGTTCGGCTTCTGGTTGGTCGAGAGAGCATGCGAAGCCCACTTTCTGCGTCTAATACACGCCCTGCCTCTACCCGCGCCTTCCACTGACCAAACTTTCTGCATACACGACTCTGTCCGAACGCAGTTAAAAAAATCGGCGAGTCAGCGCCTTTCAAATGCAAAACACAAAGTGGGTATCAGAAGTTGGTTCAGAGCACGCCAAAATAAAATTTGGCTCAATGCCGTATCAAATGCCCCCCCCCCCCCCCCCCCCTTCGGGAATATAGGTACATTAAGAACTCACAGGACATCAAACGCAAGTCTCAATTATCGTGGAAGTACTGGAGTGCGGGTCTCAAAGCCCAGATGCCTGGGTTAGCGCCGTATTTTCTTTATTTTCGTTTTTCGACGCACTTCAAACATTATCTTGTTTCGGGACTTTTTTTTTTTTTTTTCAAGTTCGTACAAACATTTCACTCATGAATGATAAATGAAACGGACAGCGTGTTCTTGACAATTGGGGTTACTTTGAAAATATAAATAAACAGGACTACACGTGTGCCTCTTTCAACTAGCAAGAAACATCTAATATTTTCTAAAAGCGCCTCAACGTAAATCCAACCCGGAATATGAAAGAGCGAAAGAAAAATAGGAGGCGAAGGGAAGCAGAGAGAGTGAAAGACATGGCAGAGGAATAAATGAGCGGTGAATGCGAAGATTCCCAAAAGGAGCAACGAGTTGTGATCAAAGCATTTCCTTAGGTTCTGTCTAAGCGCTTTTAAAAATGCTCAAATGTTGCGTTGCGCGCTTCATCTCTTGTTTGTTTGTGCTTACATTTTCTACTTATTTTAACGCATGATTTCGGTGCTCTTATACTATTCAGCCCATATCTCGTCAAATACTGCGGGGCGTAGCTTTCGTTTCATATCTCGAGTTTTATTCAGGGAATTCCGATTGATCTTGGCGGAAGTAGTTAGTTTTTCATGCGCTTAACATATACGATGTCGGTATTAAGATAAACAGAAACTTTAAAAATAAAAAGGATGTGCGTGCCATCTAAAAAAAAAATCCTACAAATACATTTTATTTTCCCTAGCTTATTTTAATTATTTTTTTCCCCCTAGCTACGTTCTTTATTCCCCCTTTTTTTTTCTCACTCCTAAAGCTTGGCAGATTTCTTTCTGCTTTTCCGAAAATAGAAACATATCTGCTTTCTGCTCCCATGAAAGCCCACGCGTGCCGAGTTCTTTTTGCTTTTCTCAAGTCATTGTTTATGAGCCATATCTACTAAAATATCTCGAGGACATTTTAGCAGATATGGTTTCGCTTGCTATCAGCCGGATCTGCCTGCTTTTTTTAATAGTTAGCTAATAAATGAATACGGCTGGAAGTCTGCCTGGTTAAAAAAAAAAAGATCTAAGGCGGAAATTACGCAGAAACAATTGACAGGGACATTTAGGTGTCTTCGACTGGACTCTCACTGATATCCGAAGGTTGCTCAAAAAGTAATGAGCAACATCTTTTTTCACGTCCAAAATTAAAGGTAATATTATAAAAAAGAAGAAACTGCAACACTGAGGTTTCCTGCATAACGCGTGGAGTTTGACGGTCGTCACACAAAGTACGCTATGGTAATAGTACGTGATAATAATTTCTGTGTCTGAAATGCATCACAAGCAACGAGCTGAGATTTGAGTTACTAGCGGCGGAGAAACGAAACGAGGAAAAAACTCATAACCTTTTGTGTGCTCTGTTGCGGAGTCGACAGGAGCACGTTTCCACAAGCAGTTACAACGAAGGTATGTTATGTTTACACTTAATTCACGCCGGCATAAAACCGTGAAACTATACGGATATTATGTAAATAAAGAAACGTGTATACAGGAAAGGCGCAGTGATATTCGGTTTGATTATCATCTATTTTGAATAAACATTTTCCGAGAAACAAAATGTGTGGCAATACTTTCTATAGCAACCCTCGTGATTAATATACAAGCGTGGGCTTATGTTCAAGGAATGTTATAATGAACCAGAGTGTTACTATCTGGAATGCGGTGGCATTGGTTTAACAGTCGATCGGTTCAAGTTTAAAAAAAAAAATCCGTAATTTTTTTTTTGGTTTATTGAGCACTCACTTTACAGATGCTAGTACGTTTTGCAACCAAAATAGAACTGAGAAACCCATGTAATTAGTGTCTGTACAGCGGCCCCTCTTTCCATTCGAGCGACGCGTACAATTTCTTCCGAAAAATCAAAGACACTGTGGCGCTGGTTGAACGATGCTCGTTAATCTGGGGTCACACTGCTCATACGTCCTACAAAAGACAGTCTGCCAACACGAGTCACCGCAATATCCGTGGTTCGAATGCCGCCGTGCCAAGTTTCCTTCCTGAACTCATTGCCATGCGGCACTCAAAGCACGGATCTCGCGGTGACTCGCTTTCCATTCTGTTTGCAGACTGCCTTTCGTATGATGTATAATCAGTTTGACTCCAGGTTTACCAGACAAGCCAACTTTCTGATAAAAATGCAATTTCCTCCTAAAAAAAAACAAAAAAAAAAACTTACTGTTTTAGGTGGTGAGTTTCGTAAGGTTTCTGCTTTGTATATGAGTACGATAACATTTTGACAAACAACGCGTCAGAAACAGATGCTAAGAAGAAGAAAGTGAAAGCCTCAAAGAGAGAGACGACCGCCTTATTTAGGTTCCGTTGTCTATAAAACCTAACCAGTGCCAAGTACTCATCTTTACTTCCTTACACTCAGCTATCAATTTATGATGCCTAACTTCAAGGACAGGGTGCTCAATACATAATTGACAAAAAAGCGACTTCTGAAGTCCCTCACTGAAATGTTCTTGCGTTCAGCTTACTAGTCCGTGGTTATTTTAAAGGTAACGAAGCCGCCTTTTTAATTGCCAATTACATGACAGGGTTTTAGAGGCGAATAAGTAGGAAATTAAAGTCTTCTGCTCTGACCCATGTCAAACGTCAGAGCTAGCAGCAATACGCTTTGTTTTTGTTTTTTTAATATTAGTGAGGGTTTCAGGAATACTATTATTTGAACATCACGTAGTTTACGTGGTAACGTTCGGGTCGGGGTCGGAGACGTGGGGAGGCATTATCTTTCTGAAATGCTTGAATTTTTTGTGTCTCCATGTACCTCAGGAGAGACCTATTGCTCTCTTAGGCTTATGCGTTTATTAGAATGTCTTAATAACTGCTGTTTAATAGCTACAATTACTAAATATGTAAATACTATGTAGGTGAATCAATCAGTACGTCAATCCGTAAGTTCAGCGCTATAATAAAAGGAAAATACACTCACAAGGTCTTCAACTTCGGGTAAATCTGGAGTTGGGCTTCGTTGAGTTCGACGAAGTTCCTCTGGTTTTCGATGTTTCTGAAAAAAAAGAAACGAAAACGAATCACTTAGTATGTTTTTTTTCAACATAAACAACTGTTGACAGATGCTTAGTTTTGAAACACATCCTTAAGCGAACGGACGTGGTGTATATATTGGAAGCACGTATTTACTATATCTCTTATTATTAACACTTGCCGATTACATACGTAGTGAGCAGAATATCATTGATGTGTTAAGGGGAGATACGCCATTCTGAAGGGCATCTTGTTTCGTACGAGTGAAAAAAAAGAAAAGAAATTCAAACTTACGAGCGTGCTTCTTCGCTCAGGTTTGTGCCACTGAAACGCACTGAATATATGAATACCTATATATACATATCAATAACAATATCTCAATATATCAGTATTGACATTTTTCAATATATCTCCTTATCTCAGTAATACCACCCTCCGATTGAATTTAATTGACGATCTTGTCTGAGGTTCAATATTGGCACGTTTTGCATGCGTTTTTTTTCCTTCTCCTGACTTTATTATGGCCGGTATCACCCAATCACTAAGATCAATTTACTCGATATCTCAGTTCAAGTGGACGCAATAAGATGCGGTAATCTGAGCCTATTCAGTAGCTCCCGCCACCACTTGTTATATAGCTGTAGCCCTTAATAGGATACCAATGGCAAGGAGGTCCTTCTGTCGTCCCATTTCCAGCTCGAGCTTGCTGCCTCGGGTTCAAACCTCACGAGCTGCATCGGCGGCTCGTGAGGTTTGAGCGTGCACGCGCAGCAAGAGCACGACGATAGCCAACGAACGTGTACTGGATGATGGAAGAGACGCCCTGCCGTTTTTGCCCTGTCCGTGACAACAGTTAAAGCACGCAGAGCCGCCCTGCCAACGTCCGTGTCACCTCGAGCGCATCGCTAACACGTTGGCAGCGTCATGTTCTGTCATGTTAGTGGCAGGTCAGCATCTTGAGGCGAATCGGGGGACCCACTGATGGCAACGTAATCTTCAGGCTTTGTGTCGTAGGTGACACACTATGTACCAAAACAAAATGCTCAATCAGTATGTAGCGACTCACTGATATAGAGGAAGCCACCTGCATTTTGTTTTCCCAATTTTCAGGAAGAAGATAGAAAGAACAAATGCACGGAAACAGTTTCTTGATAATCACGGAACTGTATATCCAAGTTCTATCATAATGAAAAGAGAACATTCGTCTGCAGGGATGTCACGCAATGCAGGCAGAGAACGTCTAAAACTCTGTTTATCCACGTGTCTTGGTCCGAGTGTTATAAAAAAAATTGGTCACGTACCACTGGTTAGGCGGTCACCCGTAAGTGCAGCGCTCGCGCTCGGCTCTCGGATTATTTGCAACACCGATTTATATGCGCGGCACACCGTTTACATTACCAACACAAAAAAGCGCAAGGAAAAAAAAAAGTCCTTGGCCTCGGGGGTTTTATAGGTTTCCAAACGAGCTAGGGGTATGGCATTGGTACACTACTTGTTTTGACTAAAACGAGGTCCTCGCGAGCTATTTACTCTTCCGTCGCGCTGCTCGGTCAATTTCGAATTTGTACGTCGTTACTTACTTATCTCCGACGAGGGACCCGACTGACGTCGCCGTGATCGCGGGAAAGCAGGGTGCGGTGGTGAATGGAACACACGTTTTGAGAAGACGTGCGCACAGGCTCGAGCAAACGCAAACATGGAGGCGCGCACAAACTTGGCAGTGATCGAGCGGCTCACGAAAGAGTTGAAGAGAGGAGCACGTCCGAAACCCGGGCGAGCGAGCGTGCGTAATTATTTTGGCGACGGTGATGACCGACGCTTTCAAAGGTTGAAAATAAGTTGTGTTTACTTGTCCAATGACTGACGAGGGCCAGAGTAGGTTGGTTGCTCGGTCGGTTTGCCGTACTTGAATTGCTCTCGTGATTTATACACGTTGGCTGGTGTCTTCGTAGCACCAGGAAATCTTGAAACCAAATGGCGAGGGACGTCTTTCCCGGAGTCGAGTCCGTCTAATAAACTTTATTTGATTGGTGAATGAGCAATGCAATTCGCATAGCGCGTTGGTCAAAAATTGTTTCTACATGCGTGCGTCGTACACAAACAGACACACACACATATACATAAACAAATAAAACAAAAGTTACACACATCTCCAGCTGAAGTGACCCTTAAAGTATGTTTGAGGTGAACCACAGTGTATTTTAGTCTTGTGAATCCAATTTAACATACGTTTACCCTACAAAATTAATGAATGTAAAAAAAAAAAAAAAGTTGGGTTTGAGCGTTTTTTTTAGAAATTTCGGGTACCCAGCGCGTGGGCAAGCCCCTACCATTGCAAGCCTGCTAAATTATAGAGTATTCATACGAGAGCAGATTTCTGTGATATCTTAGAAGACGTCAAGGACCTACGTGCATAGCTCCACTAAGCGCTCCGGATTCGCGAGCATCGATGCATTTGGCCGCAAAGAAGGATGGCACTGTGAAGCAGCCAATATAGAAGTTAGACAAGGCCATATAACCATCGAACATATTTGTACGATAGCGTTTCTTGCACTCTGTAAAAAAAATATATATACAGTATATATGCATATATATATATTAGAAGACGAATTAGCATACTCTATAGTAAACAGACGAGCCAACAATGAGAGCAAAATGTAACAACGTAAAAATGTTGTTTACTGCACGTGGAAGTCCTGCGCAACGTGTGGAGGTGCTGAGATCTTTCGAGAAAAGTGCCTTGTAGTCTCTTACTTTGTCTTTTGATGTTTTCGGCGCTTTGTACTTTTTCATCTCGCGAGACGACGTCACGCTCCCTGTTAGATTTCTTCCCTGCCCTGAACCGGTGTCCAGAACGAGGGGCGTCACCTGCAGACTATGTTGAGGTCATCTTGAGGCAATAACGCCCTATAAATAAATAAATATACAAAAGAAATATGGATATTTGTCATTTTAGAGGTGAAATGAGGATGATCCAAGCGTTTTGTTTTCTTCTATCATATATAGAACCTTTACGATAAGGAAAGAGGGACATTTAAGACAAACAGACAAGACAGGCTTTCGTCGCGCTGGTCGGTCAATTTCGAATTTATAACCAACACGCTCAACCTTCTACACTATATAGAACCTCTTTATTTTTTTTTATGTGTGATGCTGCCCTTGCCTACTCTGTTTGCAAATATTTTAACTCCTCACGTAATACAATCTCATCATATCATCAGTTCAAAAACAAGCGCCAGTTGTTAAGATAAAAAAAGTGAAAGCCGTTTACCACTCCCTGTAACACCGAATTAGAGCGCAGCTCTTGAGGAGGAGGAGGGAAGGGTACTGGGGGGGTGAAGTGACCTGGGGGGGTCACGTGACCTTGGGGTGTCACGTGACGATGCCGATGATGTCATCAGTGACGTCACTGATGACGCCATCAGTGACGATGACGATGCGGACTCTGATGACATCATCAGCGATGATGACGATGACGATGCGGATGTCGGTGACGTCACTTATGACGTCATCCGTGATGATGACGATGACGATGCGGATGCCGGTGACGTCATCAGTGACGTGACTGATGACGTCATCAGTGATGATGACGATGACGATGCGGATGCCGGTGAGGTCATCAGTGACGTCACTGATGACGACATCAGTGATGTTGACGATAACGATGCGGATGCCGGTGACGTCATCAGTGACGATGACGTCATCGGGGAGGTCACGTGACCTCGGCGGGGAGGTCACGTGACCCTGGGGTGGTCACGTAACCTCTGGGGGTCACGTGACCCTGGGGGTGGTCATGTGACCTCGGGGGGGGCGGCCACGTGAACTCGGGGGGGGGGGGTCACGTGACCTCGGGGGAGGTCACGTGACCTCGGCGGGGAGGTCACGTGACCCTGGGGGTGGTCACGTGACCTCGGGGGTCACGTGACCTCTGGGGGTCACGTGACCTTGGGGTGACCTCTGGGGATCACGTGACCTTGGGATGACCTTGGTTACGCCGACGCCGACGCCGACGCCGACGCCGACGCCGCTCAAGCCGGGAACGGGCCCCTAAGAGCTGCGCTCTAAAAAAAGATAACAACAACATGAGATGCAGAGACGCACAAAGCGGGACATATATTAGACTGTAGGAAGAGAGGACATAGATAAGTCCAGTTAGTCAACGGGCCCCAGCAACAAAAACTCTACGCTGTAATGTTCAAATTTCAGCAGTTTGCGTCTTGTGCATGGGTCTTTCATCCTGACCCGCTGACTATCGTCGTAATGAGACGAATATAATTATCCCCTTTACATATTACCGACCCATAACCATTGCTCCCTCCTATACCATAAGTGCTAGATGAGAAAGAAAAGAAAAACAAATTCTAGCGAAGAAGAAATGGCGAATCCACTAAAGAAAACTCTCGGTTAGTTTCCCGAAATGCATCCGCCCACCAAGCCAGGGGCCGTATATGGCTCCTCACAGTTGGCTAGATGCATTAGGAGTCTCAGCAAATTATTTTAGAGTGCGGTCTAAAAAAATGAGGTGAGACTACTTTCCCGCATTGCACTTGGGAAAGCCGGTCGCTTCAGTCTACGGTGGAGCTCGGCGAAAGACGAGGATGGAAGTGCATTTCGACCTTAAAAGACAGACTGCGCCACGGTGGACATATATGTGAACGACAACAGTCTCATTGTATATTAAAAAGAAGTTTCCAAATAAACTACCTTAGGCTCCTAGAACACCGAAAAGAAAATATAGATTCAAACAAAAGTCTACATCTATGGATACGTCGTCTTTTCACATACATGTCGAGGAGACAGGAGAAGGATCCGCGAGGAAATGCGCTTTGTATGCTGTTGTGTAGAGCCAGGCGCCATCTCTGGTAGTCGAAGTAAGATACGGTGAATTGTTTTTTTAGACAGTGATGACGCAGCTTTTATTGAAATGGCAAGCTGAGCTTTGTCTTCGCTGTAAAAGGGGAATTTATTGACCAATGACTGCAAGCGAGGTTTTAAAATGCGTCGGACAGTAGTTTTCGTAAA